CCATCTTCTATTGTACTGACACCTGTTTCTACCCGATACGGATTAGCAGTTACGTGATATTAACAATGTGGATGGTATATTTATTAAAACAATGAGAAGACGGAGTTCATCCGAAAAATGTTATGTATTTGCGCTATACATTTTGAACAATCTGGTCACCCATATACTTGTCAGGGCATTTTATATGGAAATTAATAAACATTAATTCAATGAAAGTTCTAGTAAAAAAGGTAACAAACGGGAGAGAAGCAGTTTAACATCGTATAGAAAGAATAAGAAGTTGTCGCGTTATCCTAAGCTACCGAATGACTTAAGGATTACCAGGGTAAATTCAAGGTTACGACAAATTATTCTTGTACACATAAGGGGGTTTAAATTTATGAATAGCCAAGGCTTTAATAAATCTGAGAATTAGTCCTTGACAGTTTCTAAACAACTTTTTAAAGCTGTATTAATGTCAATTTTGTGCCCCGTTTCAATTATATGTTTCGCTGTCGATGAACTTGGTTTTCTACCTCCCACGTTGATCGGATCACTTAGTAAATTGTATTTACCAATTTACATGTATGTGTGGAACATGTATATGGGGAGGAGTAATCGAACAATGCAATCAAGGGTAATTGAACATGTGCCTAGATGGCTTCAAAACCAACTAATGACAATTAGTGTCCTTTTTCCTGTTTAATGTACTAAATTATCTGTTTTCTGTATACTAACAATGTTAATTTGTTTTAAAACCGATAGAATATTTCAAGCCAAATAGCTTATTGTTCTGACTTCGGCTAAGCTAAAATTCTGTGCTCGACAGTCTAAGGAACAGTTTAGAATTTTGTATGTAGTAAATTATTTCCTACAGTTAGTACCTAGCTATCAGAGTGGTTTATTTTGTGATTTAAGTGATTAGTCACAACAACTACAATGATAAAACAAATGTCTTATCAACTGAAAACATGTTTTCACAACAAGCTTATACTTTTGACTAACGTGTTGTAAACTGAGAGGTATCAGTAGTATTTCACTTTTACCGTGAAAAATCTCAGTTTTGAAAATTTCTGATATTCTTTTTGTCAATTCACAGTCAAACTAATACACGAGAATTAGGTGATAGATATTTTCAGTTGGAGACAAATGGTGTATTGTGAAAATTTGTCTTTAGCAAAAAATGTCAATTTGTATCGACACATTTTTAAACACAGTTAACGATCAAATATTTTTGATCAATTGACAGTTTGTGGGATCTTTTAATGAGTAAATTTATAGAGATTTCTTTTCCATTTAAAAATAATAATTCTCCCCATAGATTATCATTATCTGGAATACTAGCGAAGATCAAAGAGGTGGGAATCAGATAAACATGAAGTAAGTACAGTTGATCATTGATAATCATTATTAATAAATAATAGTAACTCCTATTAATAACTTTGTTGTTTGATTATATTTTCGTTGAGAAAGCTTGGACCAGATTGCCAGGCGAAACGTTGGATTTAATTCAAATTGTTTCGCTGCGATTTAACAAATACATTCCTCCTCTTTAAAGTCGCACGTCAATTCGACGCCCAAACAATGTGAAACCAATCGTTCAAATTTAGACGAAAGTTCTTATTTAACAGTAACTCCTATAGTAACGCCTTGAATGAATTGGCTTTTAAAAATTCATGTCTCAATTGAATATGGTATGATATGGTTGCTGAATAACAAATTTCTCACTTTAAAATGTGAAATTTGTCTATTTAGTGTTCGACTGCATCAATGATATTTATAGTTTAAGGGTTATGAAATAAAACACTATTCTTAATTATTGTTAGTCTAGATTAATAGATTATCATTGTTCATTCCTTCCTAATGAAAACATTGAATGGATACTTGATTCTATTGAATTTGAATAATCATTCTTGATAACATACTGTAAGATAACTTTAAAATTCTGTTTATCAATATTGAGAGGTGATTATTTCCATGTTACATTTGAGTCATCAGTATGGTTGTATTCGAAATTTATCGTCTCAATTATCCAGTGTGATATTTCTTGTTTAAATGAATAATCTGTTTAAAAAGTCTGACCAAATATTGGTTAAACTTCAATCTCGAAGTGAAATAGCTATACTGTTTGGTATTAGCATTAAAATCAACTGTCAGAATGATAGTTTTATTTTAGTCGAATATTTTCTAAATCATTTATTAACTGAGATTTGTTTAGAAGCGAAGATGGATGGTGGCTGGCAGTGGAATCCAGAATGTGCGTTTCGTCCTATTTGGGACTCGGCATTTCGATGTACCTGCATCCCAGATATGATGTTCAATGAGGGACACGGACCCAGTACTGTTCGTTTCAACAAGATCGCGTTATCTACTTAGCTACTGAGTCCTGATAGCCACCTGCTTGTACAATGGGGTGAAGTATAAATTTATTTGGTGTTTTTTGCTTGTATGTTTATTGTGGAAAAATCAAATGTAGACCGACTTATTACCATTGTAACCTGGTTGAATGATTTTTAGATGTATCGTGATTAAGTTTCATAAAGTCACTTCATTTCATGTTGATAGAAATTATTATTAAAATCTGAAGTAGGAAATCAGTTTTTAAAATATAAATTCTATCAATACATCGTTCACAAATACTTTTATGAGTAATTCAGTGTGAAGACAGAATATTAACAATGAAACGGTGTAATTATTTTTATAATATAAATCATGAAATAAAAATCCCCCCAAACGCGCTAGTGCGGCCAAGGGCCCTCTCGAAAGGCTCTCACATGGCCACGCGTATACATTCACTGGCAGCGAAGTCCTACTCACTGCCTTATCGCGGTGGGGGTGTTGTTTACACGACTGAGAGGACGAAAAGTAAATGTCCGGCACTTTAACCGGGTTGGTGTATATGGAGGATCTAGCTAAGGGACTTGGAAAAGCCTGATTCCAAACTATTTTTGCTCATGTGCTCCAGGATCATGAAGGAAAAATGGTGCATGAACCTATTGTTGATCACCGGCTTCCATGAGACTGAATCTATTGACGTTGCTCCACTGTTTTGTGGATTAGGCCTTCAGGTCAAAGTCTCTGAGTTCGCCCCCCCTAAGAAAATCATCTGCTTTCGGTTTGGGCACACGGGCTGTATCACAGCGCTCATTCAAATCAATGATAGCTGCTACTGGCCTCGTTGTTATTGTGTGGCGTATATGTATTTGGGTTCCGCCTTGTAACAATGTTTATGTGTTCAAATGAATAAAAATAAATAAGTTTTTCATCCTAGTTAGGATCAGCACATTTTAAACTAAGACATATAAACCATAAATTGTATATATATATTGTTTGGAAAACTACAATGTAGATAGTTTTTTTTGATACATGAACATATAGTTAGCATGATTTATGTGATGGAAGTTCACTTAAATTAACTATAAATCAATTCTCATAGATATAAACACAAGTATAAGAGTGGACGTGGGTTTTCAGAATATTGTTTATCTCTCATGTTCTTAGTGATAGTCAGGTAAAAACGAGCATTTTCAAACACTGTATACTTAGTTTACTTTTTATCTCAACCATTCAAATTATGTAGCAACTAATCGACTCAGTAGATTTGTGATATGGTCAGCTTATATTTAATTGATTGGAGTGCGAGTGACATATGAAACTGATCTTTTTCCAATCGTTTGTGACAGTTAATCACATCTTCAAAGGGGTAATTATATGACTTAGTCAATTTCCATTTATATATATTAGTTTCTTTTAGGTATCAAATAAATCCTCACTTATAGTCTTTGTGTGATTTTTTACGTAATTCGATTCACGATTTCTAGTAGTCTGAACCTTAACAATTAGGTATTCAGCACACACAATAATTATTTAACCATCCATATGGAATGGATTACAAATTACACAACCAATATATTGTTTAGTTACATGCTGTACATAATTTGAACATTATATTGATTGTTTGTATAAAGCGATTAAGCTATCGTGAGTGATGTGTAAAAACTGATTGAATGAATTCAATATTGGTTTTACATTTAACTAAGCAAATCTATGTTAGGTGATACTTTTTTGTGACTAATTGTGGTAAACATGTGCAAAGAAAAGTATAGATAGAAAATTTTACTTATTGATCCGACACGGAATCCTAATTTTATATCAACTGGAAAATCCTTATAGAACGAGGAAGAGTAAAATAACTTTAGTTTGGAACTTCTTTAAAAGAGGAAATCTCCAAGCCAGATCAAATGGAGGAATAGGTGTTATAATGAACAAATTGTAAGTCAATTACTGAAAGCTTTTTGGTAGACTTATTTGAAATTTTATTAATCCCTGAAAAAATTTTTGGATCCTAACTTAGTACTTTTGTTTATATTCTAGTGAACTTACTCTTAAAAGTGATACATTTCTATTGGAAATTTAACATATAGAGCTCTTAAACTAGCAGTCGATGATGACTTGTAAATTTGTGATTATATTCCAAAGTTCCGCGTTCCGTTTCAGTGTTCTTATTACTCGATCTCTGTTCAGGTGTCTAGAGTTCTTAATTTAACCAAAATCTAGAAATTATGGGTTTTCAATTCTTTTGAAATAAGGACTTGAAATAATGAAAGATGATTTTAAGCGACTTTTTCATCAAGACAGAATAGTACTTTAAATTTATTCATATTCTGAATTAAAATTATGCACTATTATGTAAATTATTCAGCTAGTTGGTGAAAAACATGATCAAATGTATTCATTCATAAAATATTACGTTCGGATCGATTATGAAACGTGTTATCATTATTGTCTTTTTTCACAATAGCTTTCAGATATATTTTCTTATCACATATCAAATGTATGTGAGGTATATAGTTAATTTGTAACTAAACTTAAACCATTTGTGATCATAAAGAATAAAGTAATCATAAGACTGCTATTTGTTACAAACCTAATCTCGTAGACAAGATGCTATTGGTAAGAGATCCACATAGATTAATTTAACTAGATAGATTTTGATTAAAATATTAACATTTTTGACTAACTTTTCTAACGCTAACATTTGTTGCTTTTGATGTTGATAGTGATACATTTGTGCTGATTGTGCAAGTTTACGATCATCCTCCGAATTAAGTGACAGCATTTTGTCTGGTAAATTTGAATTCTCTAATGTAAATTCTTCATCTTGACTCAAGCGAGTTTGCTTCCATAGTTTACGTCTTGATTGGAAAAGAATAAGATAGATGACAATAGTTACGAATAATGGTTAGGCAAACAAGTGTAAAATACAATTTCAATTAATATTTTATTAAAAGAAGTTAATTTCTTGATAGTTTAGGTCTTGTAATTGACGGATAAAGTATATTTTCATTTCACTGATAACATATTTACGGAATTTATATGTAAATATTAATAAAAGTATAAACAAGTTGACTTAGTGTTTTAGTGCCCGTGGTTCTCGACTCCATTTTAGATTGTACGAATGTTTGTTGTCGCCTTTTCTCGTATATCATCGTCGACTTAAATCGCGTTAGTCCATAACGGAATTAAATAAGTCAATTAACGAGAATGGCATTTGAATACATATATTTTGTATGTAAAGTGAATGCGATAGAACAAAACGAAATGACGCGCAGGGAAGATGGCTGGGAAGCCAACTCCATTTCAAGCCGGGCGTTACTCAATATTTATAGGCAGACAAAATAAACTACAGACATGTGATGAGTCATGAGACATGAAGTGTACACACACATACGCTCATATGAAAACAGTCAAGGCTAATAAGCGAATAATTAACAAGGTCGAAACATGACTCAAGTAGAGTGAATAGAATGGAATGTCCGGAAACTAGAATAAGATATATTATGGGCTAAAACTAATGACTAACACTACAGTGTTGATGAAGTCGTGAGTCGTAATTAATGTAGTAGATTTTGCATTAATTTATTTGATATGATTTTGCTTCAACGAAATGTGCACATGAAATAATTTTTCATGAAAACATATTTCTGCAAGAATTAGTTACCAATTGAACAAAATAATAAAATAATATACATGGCGTCAATGATCGTCGAATTTTACATATGTCCAGAATCTCAATGTTACTAGTAAGTCGAATGAAACTTTATGCAACAATGTATTTTGTGTTTATCATTTGGATATAGTCAATAGAATGCCATCTATCTTAGTTTCATATAGTGCAGATTACTACAGTTTCAATCAAATAACGATTAATAGTCTTTCGTTTATTCATACATGATTTTATTAGCTAAAAGAGTAAACATTTTATTACAAATAAATATGATTTTATCTTTAAATATCAAGATATTGGTGGGAAATCACTGCTTAGTTAATTATTTGAGAAGTTTTATTTCTAACATAAGTTCATTTTAATAATATGTAACGAACTAGTCACCATCTCATTATATTGATCTTATTATTATCATCAATATTGATGTATAACATCATTGAACTTATGATAATGTTGTCTAAGTTTCAAACCTATAAAACCTACAACCAACCTAGTAAACACAAAGAATGTTTAATGAACAATCGTAATAAATCAAAACAGATATTTTTTAATGTTACAAATCTTACTTCTGATAAGCTGTACCTATTGCTGCTATCACCAATACACCCAATGCTGCACAAACTGAACCAATGACTAGAAAGTGAATGATTTTTTTAAAAAAAACAACGACATAATTACAAACTGTAATTCATGATAATTTCTAGTTATTAATTTAATATTAACAGTTGAATTCACGAGTCAATCTAAGCTAGACCACCATTGAGAACCAGGAAGCACTGGAAAGCCGTTTCGTCCCTGTATGGGGCCTCTCAGCAGTGCGCATCCATGATCTTGCATGCGGGACTCGAAACTAAGGCCTTCGGTCTCTCACGCGAACACTTAATCTGGATTAATAAACCCTTATTAGTCAAACATTTGTTTATTCTCAACCTTTTTCGTTAATTGTTGTGGTAATGTGGTGCGTGCTACTTATATCGACATAAATAGTATATGAAGTTAGCCAGGAACCAAAATGTCTGGCAGCAGAGAGACAAGAGGACCGGACAGCAAAGAATGGAAACAGAATGCAATCTGTATGCAAATGCAAGGATAATAAAGTCTGAGTCGTTTTGAGACAACTGATGGACATTTTGCAAATTAAGCATTTGCTATATGATTGTTAGATTTTATTAACAAGTCCTGTGATTCTGTACCAAGCACATTCGATTGTCCTCAACTGTGTTCTGTTCACTACATTTGGTGTCGCTGCCAATCAGTAGAGGGGAAGGGTGCTGTTCTGCCGACACCGTTGGAGGCCTGGATCTGGGGTGCCAGTCGGGGCATTCCGGTGCGGAGGGGGGGGGCGTCGAGTGGAGTGTTCTGGAAGGTGGCGTTGGATGAAGAGGAGCAGTGGAACGTGCGGCTGCTGGGTGGACATCGGGTGTAGATGGCTCAGCAGGCCGGTGGAGCACGAGTGTTGAACGTCCAAGGTGACGAGAGAATGTTAACCTTGCTTACAATAATTGATTAGGCCTTGAATGCACCCTTCCTTCATACTGGATACAACCAACTTTCATCACATAATTAATTGATTTAGAGAAGAGTTATTTACAATTTCGAGAAAACTTACATATCACAGACTGATAAAAGTAATAAAATCATTGAAAACCAGCGAGAACCGGGTGACCATTATGTTGTTGCTTGGATCTACACAGTAATGAACACCTATAGTGTCATTCGCTTACAACAAAATACCATCAATTTTAGTAAAGCCTCTATTCTCATAATACGTTAACCACAATGAATCTGCCTTAATGTTCTCTAAATTAGATGAGGAATCAATTGATAGCTAATTTTTAATTCATCACTGAGCTTAATACTAAGTATTATAATCTCCATATAATTACTGTCCTCATTAAGTTTTACAGGTTTTAAATACCCTTTTTTCGTTCTAATTTGTTTTTTCACTGTTTCTTAAATCATTGCGTATTTATTTAGAAATGTACCTTGCTTGCTTAAACTAATCTTTGTTGATTTCTATCACAATAAATGTTCCTTTGTGTAGTCGGAGCTGGAAGAGAAAAAAAATTTGTGGGATTTAGGCATAGGCCCAACAAATTACTGGGTTGGTAGTAATTATTGTGAGTAAGGGAAATAAATGTCACGTTGCACTCACTTGCAGGTTGCCAATTCGTATAAGATCGTAATCCATTATTTTGTAGACTACTTATCGCTTCAAAAGCAGGTTTAGCTCTCATATCACGATTTATTATATCATCAGAATAAACACTTGCTGTAATTAAAAAAAATTGATTCAAGAAAGTATTATTAAGTGGATAATAATTTAAGCATAATTAAAACGGTAGCAAAACAGAAGGAAAATGTATATCTGATCTCGAACTTGACATAAAATATCGTAAATAATTTCTAGAGTTGGCATACTGTTAAATTAAATAACATGCTCAAAAAGAAATATTAAGTAAAGGAATTCAAACTATATTTTCAAAGTTGACATATTACTTTAGTATAAAAAATATTTCGTAGTTCAGCAACTCAGTAAAACTGGTCCTGCAAACTTTCTAAGATTATTGCCGGTCTTAAGCCCGGGTAAAAGTGGAGGGTTGGGCATGAGAAACATATTCTAAAATGTAAAAAGGAGAAATTCTAAAAACAACGCCAATCATAAAAAAGCATTTAGACCATTTACAATCTCTCCTGGGTCTTCATATAGAAGAATGATAAGGCCCCATTGTGGAATTCGAGATTCTTCGAAAATCATGGAGCTGATGTCCCTTCTAGCAACCAGAGCAATAACTAACTTATGTAAATGAAATGTTCGCACAGTTTAGGAGACAGGAAGGACCAGTCAAAGGATGCGTAAATTAAAAACTACAACCTAGCACTGCTCGGAAAAGTGGAACACATTAAACGCAAGTTCGACAGAAGGATCAAATTCGGAGCAGGTACTGTTGTGTTCTGATCATGAACTAGAAAATGCTTTGCACACATATACACACAACCAGTTGCATTGCTGCTCTTCAAACAAGTAGGGAATCACAATGAGTGGCATCCAATGTTATGCACCCGCTAATCGTAGCAGCGGATATGATGGAGACCGGCTTCATGAGGCTGAAGTCGATCGCAGAGAACTTTCGAGGAAGGCAACTGAACATCCTGATAGGAAATCGGAACACCAAATCTGAGATGGTTAACGCCCAGTATAAAGGCATCATGGAGTGATATGAATGTGGGTAAAAGAACGAGAATATTGAGAGAATGGAAAATCTATGTGCTTTCAACAACACAGTTATACATAGCAGCATTTCCACTCATCAATGCACATGTGAGGTTACATCGGGCTCACAGGATCACACTACAGCGAACCAAAATGATCATATTTGGATCAATAAAATAAAATACAGACTGTCAATGAAAAGCGTGAGAACAAAGAGAGGAGTTGAAGTAGTTTTAGATCACCACGTGGTTGTGGCCAAGATGAACTTGAAGCAAAAGAAGCACTCGGCAACTAGAGAAATAGCATTACAAAGTTTCAATACAGATTTTCTTACAGATACTGACAGACTCAACGAATTCAAGATACAACTCATCAAAAGGTTCCATGACTAATAAGATCTACTCAGGGAAGAGAAATCTACTTTAGAGGACAATTGGAAATGGATCAAAGAAGCATTAACCTCAACATACCAGGAGGTTCTGGGCCTCAAGAAGCATCATTATAAGGAATTGACCTCTGTAGAAACCCTAGACAAGATTCAAGAAACGAGGAATAAGAAGATAGGCATTAACAACATCCGAACACGAGGCATACAAGCAAGTGAAGAAGAGCATTAGAGCTGACAAGCAGAAACACGTGGAAGATCTACCAACGAAAGCGAAAAAGGCCACAACAGAAGGAAATATCAGACAACGATATGACAGGACGAATAAGGTAGAAGAGAAATTTGGTAGATCAGAGTAACCAATCAAGAACAGAGAGTGCAAACCAAGCAGTGAGGATTAAGGGTAGTGAAACGGTTGGGTAGATTACTTTGACGAACTCTTGAGTAGACCAGGACCACTGAACCCACCGAACATCAAAGCAGTACACATCCTATAGATAATTCTGGACCAACAATAGATGTTGGTAAAGTTATCAGACAGATCGCGAGTAAGAAAGCAGAAGGATCAGATAGTATACCAGCTAAAGCGCTGGAGTCAGATTTATATCTAAGTGCAGCGAAGTTCCACGTTCTCTTCAGAAATCTATCCAGACAGTTATGAGAGTTCTTTATTCACATAACTTTGGTTATTAAATTGTTTATTCATTCACGCATTATACATGAAATCGTTTCTTTTATGTATCGATAGTTGGCGAGAGAGTTTTGTTGTTATTTATGTATTGAACGAACTTTGAGATAATAAATATTCAAACAATTTCACAATATCTCACCTTGGTATTCATATACACGTTACAAACTAAACTGATTGACTATAGTTCTTAGTTGCATTGTTTTTATGACCTAATTGAAAATAACGTAAATGCAGCTTAAGAAATGGGAAATGTTCCCTAACATCGAAGTTATGTAAGTTAAACTTTTTGTTTTCATAAACATTTGGAATGTTAAGTAAAAAAGTTTATACTATTACTAGATAACTGTCTAGTTACGATTTTGTTTTCTGTAAACTTGTTATATTTGAAATAAAGTTTTTAACCATGTATTAACCACCATTGGTGGATACTTACTCATGATTTTATTACACTACTTCTATACGAAACTTTAATTAAGAAAATGAATCACGATTGAATATGATAGCTATTAAATTAAATTAATACGACATGAATCTGTTTGTTCCTGAGTATTTAGAGTGTTGAATACGCGCATATATATGACTCCTTCCCATCAGGCTTCAGTAAGTACAGTCATCCTATAATTTATTCCTACCACGTGCTTATTACGTGCATGGACTACTCGTGTTTTGTTAAATAAATCTACTGTCTGATCTATGTTCTGGCTCTCCCTTTATTCATAATAATAATAATAATAATAATAATAATAATAATAATAATAATAATAATAATAATAATAATAATAATGCATTCTGAAAATTACAGAAATCATGGTGGTTTACATGCGTGATCAGCTTGACATACAGAATGATTTGTTTGATCATGAATCGTGTACCTGAAATAATGTGATCCCAGTCTGAGTATAGAGCATCGATTAAGTATTCAGTCTAGTGGTGGTATAAATTCGGGCACGGATCGCATTATCATATAACAAAATCATATTGTGTTAAGTGAAGATATTTTAAATTACTCATTATATCACATAAATGTGCTTAAATGCCACATAGTTTATTCTAAATTCTACTCTTAGGTACTATTTAAAAGAAAATAGACCAGATAACTTACGATTTAATTCACTATCAAAATATTCTAAGAAAGGATGGTTAATGTTGCTGTAACTGATAATTCGATTTAGTTCATCGAGTTCCAAATTACTGCGATCTTTCAGTGCCCTTGAAATACCTGGAAAGGTTAAAAAATTTGTTGTAAATAGTTAGTTTGAACAGTTTATTGATTTTCAAAATAAATACTTAAATCGGTTAACAAATTTTGATGCGGAAGCCATCGCAATCCATGTTCACAAACCTAACCTTTGCATCCAAAAAAAATAATTGTACAACCACTTTCGTTGCCTTGGCTATCGGTATAAGGGTGCTTGCGGCAGAACTATTTTCGTACTCCTTCCATTTTTTTTAACTTGGTATTTTTTAACTTTATATTTTCATCTCTTGATCCTTACATAACTACTGTTCTATTGACCATCCATTAAAATATTTTGTTCCTTCTCTTTTTCATATATTATGCAACGTAGCAACTTCTTGATTTTCGAATAATTACTTTGAATATTATTAATCCTCTTTCTTCCAATAACTCAATGTTAATTTCACTATGTAATTATTACGTAACATATCCACTCGATGAGTATTATTTCATTATTGCAAATTTGAAGTTTGTCTAATTATATGAATATCTGCCCAGTGGTTATATTATCTTGATTAAGCTAACCGAAAACAAATGTTAATCTGTAATATTTATCTTTCAGTTTTACACTTTACAGTTGTAAGTTGTCAGAAAGGCAATATTTAATTAATTGACTCTATTCTTTTATATATTTGTACTTTATAAAAAGGAAGTGAAAGTTGACTGTGTATTTAACTGACTTGTTATTTTACCTATGCATTACTATTTCATCCTCATCATGAGGCAAGCGCTTACCTGGAATCCCGAAGAGAAACAGGAAACGGGAAGACCGAAGAACACACTACGTTGGGAATTGAAAATAAGTATGAAAAGGATCAATAGCAACTGCAGAGGATTGCTCAGGACAGAGTTGGATGGAGAATGCTGGTGGTTGGCTTATGCTCCTTCACGAGGGGTAACAGGTCTAAGTATGTAAATAACTATTTCAGTCACTTCCTATTACTATTTGAAGCTTAATTCGACGTGTTTTAAAACAAAACAACCGAAAAAAGACCAGATGTCACTGAATTAATCAATTAATCCGAATGACATAACTGATTCACACATAAAAATTATTATTTTCACAATCTATAAAGCATTTTATATTAAATTTTGATAAATTATTTTAGCTTGTTATTACACCTAATTATAAAGTAAACTGTAACCTTAAAAAAGAATAACATGGAACTGAAAAATACAAATACTTTAACATGTATACAATACCATAATGAAAGAGTTTATTTTCTATGAACTGATTACAGATGACGAGTTATCTAAAGTCAAAGAATTTTACTTATAATTGTTTCGCTTCACCTTAGGAATCTTCTGTGTTATGAACTATAGACTTTCGTGGGAATAAAACTTATGGTCTTCACTGATACGCCACCCAGCTATAGTTTTAAGAAAATTTGGAAGCTTTATTCATTACCACTGACCTCGTTTGTGACTCTCATCTTAACTACTTAGTCCTACAGCTTGTGACTCTTTACCAAACAAAGTTGAGTGGACACTCAAAAATATTCTCAGTCATGAAGTCAAAGAATATGTTTTTTTGTTGGTAAAATGGAATCAGAATATTCATTTTGAATTATTATCAAACTGTAGCGAACAGTCTGTATTCAATCGGAAGGAAACAGCATTAGGATGTTTCCTTGGTTTGAACTATTTTGGGTCTCTTGTGATTGGGCCGTAATGACAGAAAAGCAATTGTGTGACCTCTAACTCTAGTCTTGTAGTGAATTCTACTTATGTATGTCGACATAAGTAGCATGTGACACCAACCAGAAGTGAGGTACCTGGCAGCAGAAAGTCGTGAAGATCGGATTGAAGAAAACGGGCATAATTATAAAGGCAATGAAATTTGAGACAATTGCTGGACGATTTTCAAATGAAGCATTTATTGTATGATTTTCACACTTTACTAAGTAGCTCTAGTTTTTCGTTACAATCCGATTTTCTATTAGTTCACCCATATTGCCAGTAGGACTGGTGACCTGTTCGTCAGTTGACACATTGACAGATGAACAACCAAGACACCAACAATTATTGGTCCTCAAGTCCCTTCTGACCCAGTGGCCACTCAGGAGATGAAGGTAGAAAGTAGGTCAGTTCTTTGTTACACTCAATTCAACTATGACTCAAAACTCATAAACACATAAAGGAAATTAAGAAATTACTATAACGGTATAATTACTCCATAAGTGTAAGTGAACTGAGTAACACGTTCGTAATAATTTAACAGTAACTTAAGAAAGGCACAGAATATAGCAACAGTTTATACATCACGAAAAAGCTTAAAAGCAGGCGAATACAAAAATACAATGTAATTTAAATGATACAGAACTAGTATTTATTAACTTACTATCATAGCTATATGGAGCTTCAAATTCCTCACGTTTTTCTAGCCACATTGGTAAGCCTTCTGATAGAAGACCAGTATCAAATCGTTTAAATTGATTAAAATATCCTCTCCGACCATATGTTAAATTGTAGTTGATAACGATAAAAAGTGTAAAAATTATATATTTAACAAAAGGAAACATTATTGACAATATGGGCGCTTCTATAATTTATGCATATCACATTCACTATAAAATAAACTCCAATATTTCATAAACGAAATGAGAGAATAAAATGACTATTATGATTTTTATCTTTAATTTCGTTACAACTTAATCTGTATTCTTCACTAAATCTCGAGGTCAGTAAAGAGTTTTATATTTTCGTTCACAATGTTTCTAAGCTGAAATAAATCTTCGAACAAAAATCTACTCAGCAACATTAATGAGAAATATTTCTATGTTATGTTTAGAAATCAATCCCAATGAATGAGAGGAGATTTGAAGGTCATGTCGTATTAAGCCAATCAGATTCATCTCTACCCGCCTCCAAATTTTTATCTACCCATAATGTTAAAGTAATAGGACCAGTGAGTAGAAGTGAGATAAATTCAATACTATGATCCCCTTCATTTTAGATTTTGTCCAACAAATTTATCAGAGTTTTCATATATTATCTTTCCAACCAACATCATTGGGATTGTTGTGGAAATTTGTTTTTATCAACTATACTTGTCTATAATCCAATTAAATTACCTTCGTTTCCACAAAACTGAATGAAATGTAAAATAATATATATATTCTGAAAGTAATAATTACAGAATCCACTCCAGTTTACAGGTATGATCAGCTTGATATAAACAGTGACATTAAATGTAGAGAACAAACATGTGATATAAGATTATTTTAAGTTTACTAGTTCAAAAATTATTTAAGTAGTACATTTATGACATGTAGCAATGAAATGCATCGACCGGAAAAGTTCAATTTTCTTCAATGTGGACATTCTGTTGATGTATGAACAGTGCATTTAAGGTCATTTTCTGCACCATAATGAATTGATTATAAACACCAACAACTAGAGAAAATAAAAAAGGAAGGAGAAAGCACGGAAGAACAAAAGCAATAATTACTATGATAGATCAGTCAGGTCTACCAGGTTATTTTATGATATACTGTTCATGTTAGATATTATTCAAATTGGTTAAAGTTACAAAGGACGGCATTAGTGTAAAGTAACAGCGACTAAGGAGGTTTACCTAGGAAATTCAGTGATAATAATGTTCAAACATTCAAATTTCCTATAATCTCACTTGTGGAATAAGATATACATGTGTAAGAACATATAAATCATTTCGAGAGGAGAAGTAAGTATCAATGGAGCGAACAAAGAACGGAAGTGACTTTATTTCATGGATAGATTGCGGTAAATTATTCCAGAGACTGGATAATTTACTGGTAAAGTACTTCATATAGAGAGATGATTTAGGATGTGTTTGTCTCACTAATGACAAGGAGTTAAGCATGCTGTAACGAAGAGTTACTGTATTTTGAATTACTTTACTGAATGTAAAAGATAGTTTATTAGGTGTTTTGAAGAAAAAAGATTAGATTTAGTTTGAGTCTCCTCTTCCATAAAGGGTCGAGCTGAAGTTTAATACATCTGGAGTTATAACCCAAGGTACGATCAGTCCAAAGAATGCGAGTTTAAATCGCCTCTAAACGGATTTCAACCTTAATTGATACTTTATGCGAACAGAAAAAGGAATAAAGGTGCGGCATTCTTGGAATGGTTGAACCCATACTTTATCAAAATACATGAATCGTTGTAGAGGTTTTGAAACATTCAACCCATAAACCGTTGGGAATTGAAGGTCTGTTTCGAGACCTGTCCTATGAAGGACAAATTGTAGTAGTATCTAAGTCCACTACTGTATGTAGCTTAATTAACACATTACCATTTACAGTAAAATCTAAGTTGGGTGATGTATTACCGAAACATATCTATCCACATTTAGTTGTGTTAAGTTCCAACTGTCATTTTGAGCACCACTGCGCTACCTTTTTAGGCTCCATGCTGATGCAATTTTGCATATTGTTCGGTTGATTAGGAGAAAACTAAAATACTACTTTAAGATCGTCTGCATATAGGAGTGGCTTACCCCCACAAAAACATTAACAAATATCATTGTCAAAAACTAAAATGAGCAAAGGGTCTAAGAGACTACGTTGTATTACACCACTTCTGACAAGGACGGAGTTCGACAAGAAAGAATTAACTTTAATTATTTGATATCGTTGGCTGAAGAAGTGATCAAACCATACAAGCAGAAGGTTTCAGAACCCATAAGAAGCTATTTTATCTATAGGAAGTTGGTGGTTAACCATATCGAAAGCTTTAGAAGTGTCAGATTATGACACTAAGACAAGGTATACGCGGTTACGTTGAGTAAAGAATGAATTAAAGAAATCAAAGTGGCAGGTCATACAAGATCGATTTTTAAGAAATCCATTTTGAGAATGATTGATAAATTTTTCAGTAAGCAAATAGTTGGAGAATTCGTCACTAACAATTTTTTCTATAATGCTAGAGGTAACTGGAGTAATATTTGTGGGCTGATAATTGTACATGTCAGTCTTATCTCCAAATTTTTTACGTGGTATGATATGTGTGGTTTTCCAACAGCGAGAGAGCGAACAGCTTTAGACGAAGAAGTGGAATATCTAGTCCACCATATTTGTGGCGAATAGATGAAATCTCGTTTACTCCATCACCACTTGAAACCTTAAGGGAGTTTATAACTTTACTAATTTCTAGGTATGTGAAAGAAATAGATTTTATTAAGTTACTAGTCACAAACATGACTTTGGAAACCGAGCCACTTAGGAATTGATTATTGCTTGTAAAAATACCACTGAAAAGATATGTAATGGTTTTAAAGCCGTTTATAAAATGTCATTATGCCGGATCCATAATATGTCTGTATTTTGAGTTGGTTTAACGCGTTTATTGAAAAGGAGAATTAAGTTTTGTACTTTTGAGCTCTCATTAAGTGCCAACAACCGCTCATTAATGACTGTTAACTTGTTCTTTTTATTAATTTGACTAAAAGTTATAGTTATCTGTGTAACTGCCGTTAAATCGCTTGATTTGAAATGACGTTTCTGCAGCGTCTTAATTTATTACGATATTTAACTGGCATGAAAAAGTCGCTAGGTTTACTAACTCTGTACTTTATACGAGATGCACAGAAATCTAAACAAGATCTAGTGATGGCATCCATGAGACTATTACATGAGAAAAAAGTGTCCCAATCTGAGAATTTAACCAGTGAGCACAGGAGCTCCTAGTCAGCATGCTTATAGTCTCCATATTGACGGGATTTTTGTGTGGGTCGGCTATAAGAGGATTGATAAGGAGAGCACAAACCACTATTTTATGGTCACTGCTTTCAACTTCATTGTACATTTGTACAGATGGTTGGATGACATCTCAATTAAATATTAGATCAAGAATGTAATAATACCTTATTGGGGTACTGTTATGATTTCTCTTATTACGACCCAACCACTCCTATTGCTTAGTATTCTTGAACACTACTTCACTCGACAAGCCCCCTAATAAGAAAACGGTTGAACAAATAACAAGGGTGAACGGAAATATGATTCACAATAAGAAAAACGTTAGTATATTCATAGATTTTACATAGGAAGATTCTAGAGTCTTCACCAAGTATCCATTAGGGCTGATTGGATAAGATATAGCCAATCAGTGTGTCCTAACACAATCCTACACGAAACATACTTTAATCCAGTATATATCCCGCTAACATCTCCCCTTTGAGCAAATTCGTAGGATCTGGTGTTAGTGTTCACCCGCGACTGCGTGACTGGTCTGTGCCTTCGATTTGTCCACCTTCTAGGCAATAAGGAAGTGGTGTCACTCTTTGCCTGCACAGAGAATGATCTGTCTGTTCCAGGGGTTTGGATTTCAAATGTGTCCACAAGAATATTAATATGTATTCCATGTCGGGTCTCGTTGCTGGTGATCAAAATTGTTTTCAGTTGGTTGGCGTGACGCGCCCAAACTTCTGAGTCAACTGACAACTTGTAAACCACACTACCGTTCTTTGCGCGATTCAGTCAGATATTCATGTAGGATGTTTTCCACGATAGTTCATAATAAGTATTTTTGACCCACCGTGAACAACCGTCTTTGACCTTCATGATGTTGATTGAATTACTTCTCCATCGATGTTACGTTGAGGCTGAAGAGCTTGCGTAGGACAAATGGCATCGAAATTTGTTATTATTTTTTTCCAAGTAAAGCTTCTGCTGGACAGACCCAGTTAATTGTCTGAGGATTAGATGTAGAACGATAGATAAGCAGGAAGCTCTCTACAATCTCTTCGGCGGTCCTCTCTCCTTTTGGTTTTTCGCAGAGCATTTGTAAATGTACCAACAAACAGTATTACTTGGTCATTAGATCTGGAAAGGGGTGGAGATGCTCGGACATGATTGATTCCGTTCTGCCGACAAAATTCTGAGAGGATATCAGACGTGGAGTGTGTTCCATTTTCAGTAACTAATAATTCTGGAACCCCTAAACGACTAAATAGTTGAAGTAGTTTTCTGAATATGCAGCTTGCAACTGGATATTTCATGAAGAAAATTTCTGGCCACTTGCCGTTTGCATTAACTACCAAAAGGTATGTCGGTCCATGAATTGGATCAGTAAAGTCCAAGTGTATACGCTACCATGGTGACTGTGGTATTGGCCATGATTGCAGCTCTACTTTCCGCAGTACTTTCGTTGTTAATGAGTATTTGGTACATTAAGGGGATAGCTGCTTTTACGTGACGTCTTGCGTGAAAATGTTCAAGATCTGCTGGTTAGGATTATGACAAGTTCGGCAAACAGAAGGCAGTCATCGATTACTGAGAGTGATAGTCTGTATTCTTAAGACTGGTGAAGCTCCGTGAAGCTGATCTTCGAGGGCCACCCTTCTAATGACACTAGAGTGTTTCAATTGGAATCTGCTACTACACATATAATTTCTGGATCTACTGCTATGGAGGCTATGATCATGTCCTCCGGTCCAGGGTGTTGGACTCATATCAATCGGGAGAAAAAGCGTCGGCTTGACCTATAATATTTGTTTACTGATACTTGATGTTGAATTCACAGCTCAGATGCATCGTTACCCAGTGCTGTAATCTGTTAGCCGTATGAACATGGATTCCTTTCTTAGAACCAAAAGTCACAATTTAAAGTTTGTGATCTGTCAATAAATTTCAGCCGTAGAGCATTTTACGGGATCTTTTAACATCACCTGTCTTTTTTGCAAGTTTCGGAGTGTCCAATCATTAACATGACACGTCGCAGACACTGTTATTGGGTGTATCCATTATTCCAATTTTTTCAGTATATCTAGACCAAGGAGATCAAGGTTTGGCCGTTTTGTTAGATAGTATATTCCTTTACAGTTAACTCCATTGAAGAAAAATTCACACTGTAATTAGCCAACAACTTTCAGCACTCCTATTGATGCCTTATTAGTGACATTCTTAGATGGCTTCATTGGCAGTTTTCCAAGCAGGTTACACATTTCACCGACGTTTTATATTTTACAGGTGACTGGATTTTGGCGCAGTATGGGTGACTGATCATATGGGATGGGAAATATAGTACACCAGAGAGACCAGTCAAGGACAAAGAAGGGAAGACAATCGCTGATATTCAAGAACAGAAGAGCAGGTTGGTGGAACACTTTGGAGTATTCTTGAATAGATATCAATACAACACACATAAACCGTCCTATAAACGCCACTCCACCAAAGATCGAA